ACTTTTCTGGGTAATTATCATCAGTAATTATCCAGTGGCATCCCGAATAAAATTCTACATCCCCAAAACATAGCAACTTATTGTACTCATGTATATGAGTCTTTTGTAATTAATTGGAAGTTTAGAATATTAGTTTAGCAAGTGTTGGAATAAGCGTAATCGTCGAGCAGTTTCTTGTCGTTTCAGTCTGGTATAAGGATTCCAAGTTAGACGTTTGTCTAGGTGGAGTAGTAGGTATCGGATACGAAAATTTATATTAAAGAAGCAGAATTTTTAATTAACGGAAGAAAAGACGGACGTCATTTGCCACCCCCGGGCAATTACCTTAAACAATTGAATTTATTTTTATATATAATTTTATATTTGAATAACATTTCATTCAATATGTCTCTACTCCAATTTCTTTATTATAATAAGTTAAAATTAATTATTCACAAACATTTTTATTTTTTTTTAATTATTCAAGAAGTAGCGACTGCTCCAAGCGTGTCCTAAAGGTTAGTGCAATAGGATGTTCACTGCATAGAAGGAGGGAGAGCTGATGGAACACCATACCTAAAGGAATAGCTCAGTAATACGTTTATAACCTGAAATAGAATTATTACTCAAACGGTTTATTGAACTTTTTGTGAGTTATTTTAAGTAGACGACTGAGGAGTATTAGAAGGAGGGGGTAACTAGCCTCAAAACATTTAGGGGCCTCCCCTATTGCCCCCTCACAGAACCTGCCTGTATATGAACAACAACTTTTATCCGAAGTAAAATAATTCTATTATTTTCGAAAATCGATAGTGGTTGGAGCAGAAAAAAAAAATCATAAGTTATAAGCGAAATAACAGGCGAGGAAAAGCGTTACAAACTGACAGAGGGATGATGAAAAATGAAGACATCCTTCTATTAAGCAGCCATCAATCTCTCTACAGTTAGTTCTTTATCCAACTTCCCTCTATCCTTTTTCCCATCCTCTTTCATACCTACTGAAAAATAATGCGTAACTGAATTAATTGGTTAAGTAGAAGTATTTTGAAATATTAGTTATAATATTTCTGTTTATAGGCTGTCATTAAAGCTTTTTTTTTAATTTTAAGTTGTATTTTCGAATACTGTTACAGACCCATTGTAGCGAGGGTACATTGTTGCTTTGTTTGGTGAGTTCATACAGCAGTTTTGGACTTTTTGTAGCAGTTGTAGACGAGATCTAATTGATTTTGTATTTGAATAGAAATTGATGTTGTTTTATTTTATTTTTTTAATTTTCAAGAAGTGGCGACTGCACCAGGCGTGTCAATTTTGAATACCAAAAATATCATCGCCGTAACTGTTCGGAATAGTGAATTGTTATTCTCTACTTTTCATAGTTTATTTTATGATTATTGGCTTACACATTATAAAGTAAAAAAAAAAAACCTCGTATGTTTGTAGAGTAGCGATGATTGAATTTTTATAGAGGTCTGGTTACTCTCCCTTACAACTGAGAGGACTAATCAAGGATCTCACTTCTGCAACAATCCAAAAGGACCCGAGTAAAATACTGGATTAATTTAAGTTCACGGTGTGCTGAATTTTATAATTAAACTGTTAGGCTGAATGGATATTTTCTAGTAGTACAAGCTAGAATAGAGCAAACTAATTTGTTTTAAATGAATTTTCTTAATATTGTTTATACGAAAAAATATTTTTCTGGTACTTTGAATTTATTAAGGAGGAAGTAATAATCTGTGGTACAGATCCTTTTTTTATCAAATTATGATCATCTGCCTAAAACTTCCTAAATGGCGTCATACAATTTTTTATCTACTAAGATTCAGAGACTGTGGGGCGTTTTCTCATTAAATTATTTAATTTAATGAGGCATAAATAACTCATAAATATCCATTTACTTCCACTTGAATCGTAAGATAATTTGACCGTAAATTCGGAAAAAAAAGGGGCCAACGAAAATATTGGATCGTTTGGTGTATATAATCTGGTTATTTTGACATGTTGGGAGTGGAGATTTTTGTAGGCCATATATTACCTTGATTTTGAAATTATCATACAATTCAAGTGGAAAGCAAATGTGTGTTCATAAGTTCTTAGAACCTAATTAAATAGACACAGTTTGACAATCTTCAGACTGAAAACGCTCCAATTCCGAGAATATTCGTAAATAAAAAAGTTGTAGTTTACGGCGTTTGTTTGTTTCGATGTCTAGGCCCACAACATCCCGGTCATCAGTGCCCGATCAACGAAATAACATTACTGTTCATGTGGTTGGCACAAAAAATAAAAATAAAAAAAGGATAACAATAAAAAAATTAATAGAATAAAATAAATAAATAAATAATGATAATAATAATACACTTATAGGTAATAAGATAGATAATAAATAAAATAGATATAAAATCAATAAACGAATTGAAATTAATAAATAAATGAACTTTTAGAAAAAATAAAATAAGAAAATAATAAATAAATCTGAAAAGGATCATTAGTTATAAACTTGTCATACATGTTTTATAATTTTTTCACTGTCTAGGAACTACAAAACTTTAGTAAGGATTTCTTCTTGATTTCCCAGGGATGCTGATATATTCTGGGGTATTCCGAGATATTTTAACCTTGCCGAGTAAAAAGGGCACTCTTCCAAAATATGTTTTATAGTTGATTACTGGTCACACTTTTGACATCTGGGGATAAGATCTTTTGTTATGAGGTGGAGGTGAGTAGAAGAGGTGAGTCTAGTATGTCCGATCCTCAGCCGCCTGAGGACGACCTCTTCTCTACGACTGCTGCGTTTGGAGCTGCTCCACGGTTGCACCTCTTTCTTTATTGTCTTGAATTTGCTAGGTGTGCTGTCGTCCCACCGGCTTTACCATTCTTGAAATATGGTTTCTCTTGGAGATCGTGCAAGTACTGATGATGTAAAAAAAGCTTTATCACTGCCTGAAAGGGTAAGAGCTTCTTTTGTAGCTCTATCAGCCATTTCGTTTCCTTTAATACCTACATGGCCAGGCGACCAGATAAATTGCGCTGTTGTTCCAACCCCATGAAGCATTTTTATAAAATTTAAAATGCAGTGACCCCTGGATGGTCTGGATACATGTTATTCATGGTTTTCTGGGTACTTAGGGAATCCGATATCACAACCACATTTGCCACTGGCCTCTTCAGGATGTATCAGAAACTCATTGCAATGGCGTTAATCTCTGCTGTGTAAACACTACAAAGATGATGCAATTTATATTTGTAGATAGCGTCAGGCGTAATGTAGTAAATGTATCTGATTTAGTTCCGTCGGTGAATATTAAAAGATGTCCAGGTAATGTGATGATTATTTTGTGGAACTTTTCTTTATAATCTGCAGGTAATTTATGTTCTATGTTTGGTGAATTTGGTGAGTTGGAGATTTAATTTTGGTTGTATATAGGTCCAAGCGGGCATTTCTTTTTCTATTTCATTTAATCTTTTTTTTTTTTTAATTTATTCATAATAAGCGACATTCTTTCTGCCAATTTTAATATGGTATTCCAGTTTTCTTTAAATCTTTTTGAAAATTTAGATTGAAATTTAGGACTAGATAGAAATAGAACTATAGGAGGAGTTTATAGTTTTCAGGAAGAACAGAGTAATATAGTTGATTGCTAGTTCCTGTCCAAGTAGTTCCGAAGTACAGTGGCGATAGGCCAGACTCGACACAGATGCTCAGGGTTGGGCTTGTTTTAAAGGTTCCAGTTGCAAGGCGTATTCCAGTGTGGTGCACTCTAGAGCATTTTTCCGAACAGAACCGTAGAGAAAACTACCATCATCTATTTTTGCACCGACCAGAGTTTGGTATACTTTAATCATGGTAGTTCTTTCTGCTCCCCAGTTAGTTCCGCTACTGGTAACGATGTGATGACGCTATTCGCGAAGATCTAGGCTGATATTAATAATTTTACAAAAACGGGCCTGCATCACTGATTATTAGGGAATCTAACAAATGTTAACAATTCTTGTATTACTCTCTTATCATTATTTTCACATTTTTAAGAAAATTTTTCGTATATATTATTTTGTTGAATAAACTTTTCTAAATAATTTGTGTTTAGTAATTAATCTATTAAAAAAATAAAAACTTAACTCCAATCAAAATTTGAGATTTTACTTATCAAGATACGAAGAATACGAAAATCGAATAAAACTTATCTGTCCGACGTTCGCGGTTTTTCTCCGAGACTACTCGATCAAATTTTTTTAAAATTTGGAATAAAATTCAGAGATCACCCGAGGATGAACTTCTTACCTCTATATTATTATCAGATCCTTCCTTTTAAGATGGTGGCCTAAAAACCTGTGTCATTATTGACTTTAGTGCTTAAACTAATCTACCGATTTCAATGAAACTTGGCTAAGGTATCCTCCTCGATGCCCTTTATATATATGTGTGGGACATATTTCACCGAAAAATACTATTCTTTCAAAAAATAAACAAAAAATCTTTGAAATCAGACAATGTGTTGAAAAAATGTGGTGTTCGAAATATTTCTCATATGTTTAACAGGAAAATTTATATCCTTTGTTTTTGATTTTTGATTTTCGGCAAGTGTTACATCAACTGAAGCAATTTTGTCTATTTTTTTTTAGAAGATTACTAATTATGAAAAAAAAATATTTAGGCCAATATTAGGAATCACGTTTTATTTATTTTTTCTCTGTAAAATAGAAAATTAAATTCTAACATCTGATAATCTCAGTTTGTATCCCTAGTTATCTGATAAGTAGAAATTTTATGCAATGATATAAACCATTGGAATCTCTGTTTTTACAACGACTGAATATTATGAACCATTTTCTACGTATTACATTTATAAATTCTAACTTTAACTAATATATTTTCACGATGCTAATCCATTATTCCTGTGAAGAAAAATTATTTACCAACCTCAAAAATTAGAAAAAAAAAAACCAATTCCCTTCTCAAGTAAAAAGTGAGCATAAAAAAATAACCACTCCTTTTCTCTTCCTTTTGTCTTCAAAGGTTAATTTTCAACGGCATTCATTATAAATGCGAGACGTTGTTTTTCAACGGTGAGGGTAGAAATTAGGTCGAAGGGGCAACCCACCTCCGTTCTGTAAATCTTACATCAAATTTTATGAATTCATCATCCGTCAGTCCACGTAAGGCTCGATTGCTTTCTTGATTAGTCTAAGGTGGAATTAAGTAACTATTGGAAACAAGTTTGAATTTCTTTTGTTTTTTACGAACCTTACATTTTAAAATTTATCATATCATAAATTTAACATTACTTAATTTATTGTTATTAATTTTTTGTCAATCAGATTTAGTTTTGATGATTATTTGAGTCTTTCAGTTGACAGAATAACTCCAAACTCCAATTTCAACATATTTGAATAAAGTCATTTTTGTGATATTTTTAGTTTCAAGGAAAATTTATAATATCTGTATTGACAGTGAACGAATTGATTCCAGAAAATATTTAGGTATTGAAACTCATAAATATCCATTTCTTTCCACTTGAATCGTAAGATAATTTGACCTTCAAGTCGGAAAAAAAAGGTGGCCTACACAAATATTGGATCGTTTGTGGTATATAATCTGTTTATTTTGACATGTTGGGGTTGGAGATCACGTTTTTGGAAGGCTCTTTTTTTATCAAAAATAATAAAATTAATATTTTATATAAAACAGTCATTTTTAACATTAAAACACATGAAATTTCTAAAAAAATTATTATATTCTAACCTAATATAAATTATTTCTGAATAATTATATAATAATTATTTCTGAATTTCTGAATCCCTTTTCCGGCTCTCAGGAGTGGTGGGTTTTGACGAATGAGGTATCAATAAAAAGGGAATGTCACAATGCAGGAAACGTAATTTTGATTCCTAATTTTAAACTAGGACTTAAATAAATGTGAATGTAAAACTGGGAGGTTTCAAACTATGTGATGGTGCCTGCTGAACAAATCGAGACGTTAGGAATGAATTTATAATTTGTGAATAACTCGAAAAGTACACATAACATTAGACACAACAGTCCATTTTACAATGAGTATTTGGAAGCTTACTAAATTCCCATCAAAACGTAAAAAAGAAAATCATAGAAATCGGACGATTTGGTGTACGGTTATACAGTTCTGAACATTTAAAATTTGTTGTGCTGCAAAGATTCTGTTGGATGTGGGAATTTAAGGTTTTGGGAATAGGTTTTTTTTTTTCTGGGATACAGTGTAAAATGTACCAATTAGTAATTATATTTTAATTTCAAAAATTTTTATTTTTAAAAATTAATTAAATTATAATTTCATTTTTATTTATATAAATGTGTCTTCCATTAAACATTTTTTGGAATTTTTGTCAATAAGCTTTAAGTAAATTAGTTTTTATTTTTAGGTATTTATTATTTAAGTTTATCATTTCGAAAATACACTTTCGATTTTTTTAATGATAAAATAAAATTTTATTAAGACTATAAGAGCAAATCTGGACAACAGGCCTGCAGAGGAAATAATCTAAGAGAACCGACTTAGGTGGTTTGGACATGTCTGCGAATGGCTGAAAACAGCCAGGGCTCCCTTTGAGGTAAGAGGGGAGGGAAGGCAGCCACAGGAAAGACCAAGAAAAAGGTGGGAAGAAGGAATCAAAGAAGCCTTTGATAGGAGTGGAATGGACTGGAGGAGCAGAATGCAGCTGACTTAGGGTAGAGACTCTTGGGCCAGACTCTATAAGAAGGAACCTCACACTCAGCGGTAACAAAGAGGTCTGGATTAAGAAAGTAAGATAAAATAACATATATCCTGATTGGTCTAGCTATTCAATCCTCAGAGTTTGAGCCTGTTGTCTTGTTGCTCCATCAATGATGAGAGATATTCAAAGCAATGTTTAGAAGTTTTTGTGAATTTATTATAATCTAGCACAGGAAAAGGCTAATATTTAAATTATAAGAGTAAGGAAAAGCAATTGTTAAACCATGGCAAAGTGTAAATCATATTGATAAACTAATAACCTATTAAATATATGTATTAAACCTATGTATATTAAACATTATTGAATGAAAGTTGTGCTGAGCTCTTAATTTATTAAACTCAGATACAAATATTAGGTTTGTGGGAAGTATTCGCAGATAATTTTCTTAGTGAAGGATTAGCAAAACAATATGAAAATAAGTAGATCCTATGTATTATGTAAGGAAGGAATTAATTGTTTTTCCTGGGTCGATTACAATATTCCCTTTAACATATTATACCAAAATATTTGTACAAATTGTTTTGCTAGAGCCTTTTTCTAAACGCTGACTGAAGCTTAATCATGGGATTTTCTAAATTTTTAAAAAATATAAAATGCACAAAGAAAAAAATTCCTTTAAGAAATAATAAAGCATATATCAGTCAAGAAAATAAAGGTAGTAGAATAGTAAATTATCTTTAAAAAAGAATAAATTATTAAGTATACCAAAACTAATGGACTGTATCTTTTTCATTACTGCAAAAATGCGAGACCGAGACGAGTCTTGGTCTTGCAAAATCAGTCTTGGTCATGGTCTTGGTTTTGCGCAAGAGTCTCGCAGTTACTTATTAGCTTATTATTATAGAAATATTACTGTAATTTTTTAGATAGGAGAAACCTAAGTAAGCCCGAATGAAAAATTAGAGGAGTTAAATGCAAAAACCAATTATTAACATATAGTAACTAAGATTGTCAAGTATTAGTAACTATTTTGCCTTGATTTTTATTTAAAAACCAATTTTGTTTACCAGTCCTGGTCTTGGTCTTGCAACAGATAAGTGGCCTTGGTCTTGGTCTTGCAACAGATAAGCGGCCTTGGTCTTGGTCTTGCAAATTTTGGGCAACACTAATCTTTGTTAATAATTGTCCGATTTTTACAATTTTTTTTTTATTTCTAGGTAATTTTGTCGAACGTGAAGTAGTAGAATAACTTCAAAATGAGTGGTCAATCATTGAATTGATGTAGAATCGAAGAAGTTATAGAGTACTGCCAAAAAAACATCTTTTAGAAATAATATATAAAATTTGGCAAGTCCAAAAATACTAATATGCTTGTTCAATATCTTATGTTTAACTAAAAGGATTGAAGTTCATTTAGAGTTGTGGATGGGAAAGGGAGGATTAAAACCTGATTCCATGTTTCAGGATTAAACTTTAGATCTTTTTTTATAATTAGTGTCTATTTTAAATATTTTTATAAATATATTTTCTTTCATTTTTCTTTATACTGTATTTTTTTTCATTAAATAATATTTTTATATTGTCAAACATGACATAACATAACAAACATGACCTCATGAATTCGTCTATTTTCTATTGCATGAGTGTGGATGTATGGTTTCTATTATATTTGACTGAATTTTTATACGGTTATTTCTTTTTTTTTTTTTTTTTTTTTTACAAATTTTGGAGTGATTCCCTTATGTAATTGTTTTGCATGAACATTCTAATTAATATACGTTATTAAAATGTATACGTTATTTAGAAATAAAAAGAAGGCAAAACTGGACAATTAAATTACCTAATACCATGCAATCATATATGTGATATTACTTGGAGAGTTATTATTATAGAAATGAAACTAACTTACAGTTAGAGATAGTATCCACATGAAGTCAGCCAAAACATAGGTGAACATCAAATTGGTGTGGATCGTGTTCCTCAAACATCTCATCTCCCTAAAAAAATCTCAGTGCTAAAATGAAATTTTAAATACATAGTTAGTCGAAATTATCCAGAATAAATATAATGATATTAATTTTCTTAACAAATGTCATTAAAAAATATACATTCATTTCTTAATTAATGGTTGAGGTTATTAGTAAAATTACTTAAAAAGTTCCATATTGGCAATATTGTGAAATTTCGTTATCCTTTATTGCGCTGTTATCAATATTGAAGTAGGTACCTTATAGAATAACACCAGGATTTCAATACTTGACCTTACATATTGTTTTACAAGAATGAATTGAAAAGGCAGAAAATTGAAGCATGAAACAGTCTCAAAATTTATACGAACTCTTTAACTTGCGTACTGACAGAATGTTTTTAGTATAACTGAATCATTTGTTTTTGAAAAGGAATCATATAATTAAAAGACAGCGAACCCTAAAGTTCGATTCCGATACCACGATTTGTTTTCTACATATTTACATATACATATATCAACCTACTCTTTGTACCTGCTGACCGAGGGAAACCATGAAACATGTTGCACCGTGCAACAGGATTTCCACTTTTTCTTATTTCAGGTTTAAACCTACCTCTTATGTTTTTTTTTTCAAGTCTGCATAAAATACTAACGAAAACGAGACCAAACTCGACCAATATGCTTCAGAGAAGATTGTAATAGTCAATTAATTGAAATAGCATTAAAATTTTTAATCCTCTGATATGAGAGATTTCAGTCGCATTTCAATTCGGTTTTGTAAGAATTTTTTATAGAATTAAAAAGAAAGGTAAATATTTTAATTTACAGAGTGACTGCCCTAGTAGGTGTGCGCAAAATTACCTTTTACTGATTCGTTCGTAATTTAACATTATCAAAATAAAAAGCTTATACGATATAAATCACAATGTTTTTATACATAGGTATAGTTTCTTGATGGTCAATAAATCCTAAAATATACAAAATTAAATTCTTCTTCAATTTAGGATAATGATGTTAAGAAAATCGTCGGTCGTTTAGAATTTTGTCGACCTTGCACTAATAGTTTTTTCTTTTTATTAGATGGATTGAAATAACTTTAACATAAAAAAACAAAACAAAAAAAGACAACGGAACATTTAGGAACAATTATGTGAGGGAAAGAAGTGCCCCTCGGTGCCCCTTTCTAACTTGACTTTACTTTAATAGTTAGTGGAGGAGATCCCTAATCCAGCTTATTTTGAGCTTCTTACAGGTGCCATCAGCCATTTTGGTTGTGACCATACCTTGAGTCAGTAAGTTGGTATATCCGTGCAAAATATTTTGTCATATGTTCGTGTGTTATTTATGTAATATTACTGACGTACCAAGGATTGTCCTGAAAGTTTTTGATTGAAAAGCCTGTAGTTTAAGTACGTGTTTTTTTTTTTTTTTTGCTGTCCCGTAAATCTGTGAAGCATAGGTCCAAATGGACTCATGTAAGTAAGTGTGTGTATTTAATTTTTGACTAAGTTTTAATTTCGAATGGAGTGAATATAGCAGTCGTAGTATTTGATTTAGTGTTTTTGTGTTGTTCTTGATATGTGGATAGTGTTGTCCAAATGCAAGACAAAGACTCGTCTTGGTCTGCGCACTCAGTCTTGGGCTTAATCTTAGTCTTGCGCAAGAGTCTCGCCACAGTCTTGCAATTGCCTATTAGCTTATTACTATAAAGATATTACTGTAATTTTTAAATAAGGAAAACCTAACTAAGGCCTAATGAAAAATTGGAAGAATTAAATTAAAAAGTATATTGGTTATATCAATTCTTTACATACAGTAACTCAAACAGTCGAGTATTAATAACTGATTTGCCTTAATTATAATTCAAAAAATCGTTTTTTTTATACCAAGCTTGGTCTTGGTCTTGCAAGAGTTAGATTGTCTTGGTCTTGGTCTTGCAAATTACAAGATCAAGACCGATTTTGGGCAACACTATATGTGGACCATGTGTCGTTCTTCTATCTAATGTCACTCCAAAATATTGAACTTTATCTGTCTGAGGAATTTGGACGTTGTTGAGGTAAATGGGAGGACAAGTTTCACGTGGAAGAGTAAAGATAATATGTTATGATTTGTCTTGGTTAAGTCTAATTTTCCAGGGTTTACACCAGTTATGAAATTTAATTAGATGATATTGTAGAATCTGTGAGACGTGTATTGAATTTTGATGTCTTGTTAAGATTGTCGTAACGTCTGCGTACGTCGCTGTCAGAATTTCAAAACTGTGTGGAATATCATTTGAGTAAATGAAATATAGCAGCGAGTACTGAACCTTTATTAAGTAATTAAATTTATGATTGAGTTCAAATTCAGTTGTTATTGTTTACTCATGAAATTGAATTTTAATTCATAAATGATAAAACTGATTTAGTTTAGGTTAATCATCTACGAAGAGGGTATTTGAGACAAGATGAAGGATATTGTTCTTTTAACGGACTGGAGTATTTTCGAGGACGACTTAAACGAAGGGAAGATAATATTACAGCTCCTCTTCTAAACTTTCTTATTATTTTTCAATTACAGTCGTTTTTTCGTTTTATTTTCTCTGTCCCAGTTAACGAATATAGAATAAATATGACAGTAGGTCTTTTCTTTTCATATAAAAAATATATTAATTGTATTTAACAAATAATTTATGTTATGTTCACCCTATTTGATATGAACGATTATACGAATATTTTTTACTTATTCCGAACTTTCTGGCTGGAACAATCTGGTAAAAAATTATAAGATTTAAATTTCGAATAGAGTGATTTTGGAATAAATATAGCTACAAGTAAGTAAAAATAATTATGACATAATCTATGGTAACAATTTGTAAAAAATAAATATTTTGTGGGAGATAAATATTCAAGACGCAGTCTTTTTTAAAAAAAAAATTTTTATTTAGGCCAACTTTTCAACCCAAACATGTGGGTCATCTTCAGCACTGAGGGTGTTCAAGTACAGAAGTACTTGGCGTTGACATGAATAAAAAATTAAATTTTTTAAAAAAAAATACTGCGTCCTAAATATTTATCACTAAATATTTATTTATGATACGTAGAACAGTCGACTAACTCCCTTCAATAATAAACATTTTAATTAAAAGAAAAAAAAACCGACAGAAATTGTTGTTGAAAAGGAAGCGATAACAAAACAATTTAGTCCGTGGTACAGACCCATTTATATCGAATTATTAATCCTGCTGAAACTTCGTAAATGTCTCATCTCATCGAAATCTACAACTATTTTATAACGAAAACTCTTAGAATCGAGGCGTTTTCATTCTGGAGGGGGGGCAAACTTTGTCTATTTAATCACGCACTAAAAACTGGTAAATACCCTTTTGCTTTCTACTTGGATCTTAAGATAATTTGATCACAAAATCGATAGAAAAGGAAGCCTATATAACTTCGTTATTTTGAAAATTTAGGGGTGTAGGTCACGAAAAATGGCTTAATATTTTTGAAGGCCACTTTTTTTCTCGATTTTGTGATCAAATTATTTTACGATCCAAGTAGAAAGTGTATTTACGAGTTTTTAGTACGTAATTAAATAGATAATGTTTATCTCCCCTCCAGATTGAAAACACCACGTTTTCGTAAATAAAATAGTTGTAGGTTACGGTGAGATGAAACTATTTATAAAGTTTCAGGCGGATGTTAATAATTCGATAAACAGGGGTCAGTACCACGGACTAATTATTTAATTTAAGTAATTCACAATTGCTTCAATGTAAAATGGATAAAATTTACTTCAAACGAATATTTTTTTATTAAAAAAAAAATATTTAGGTACAGCTTCTGTACATTTAGTATGTAAGAGAACTACAAACCAAGCCGGTTCCAAACAAATACAACATAAGCGGTAATAATGGTGTAAAATCAGGGATAACTGTGTCTTATTCCCTGACATATTAAACTGGAGGGATATTTTCCAGTGGGACAAGCTAATCACTTATTCAGTAACTATTTGCTTTAATAGATGAGGTAAGTTTCACTGATATTGTGTGCTGAACACAACAAACTATACGACTGTCACTTTTACGAATGTATTGCATTCGGATAATGGTAGTATGAGAGTTATCACAGAGGTACGATTATAATTGCTTAATAACGAATAAACTATTCATTTTTATGTGATAAATATAAAATCTATGTGCACATGACAATTAATAGGTTAGGAAAAAAATCAATTCGTTGAACATTGGGCAGATTTAGACTAAACTCCAGCACTCAATGAGCAAACTAAGCTTGGATATCTGATCGGTTGGAGCTCTATGCTGCTCACGTACTGCGACAGAAGTCTGCCGCGAATCTCATAGTCGACAAATCCCTTCAACATTTCAGACCGTTCCCATGGGCGGCACTACCTACTTCTGCTCTCTGGAATATCTCCATCTTCATTTCACATTCTGTTTTATTTTTATTTCAGCCCAGTGTTTTTATCAGTTTAATTTTATTACCATAACCAAAATTGATTTAATTAATTAGTATGATCTTAAATAAACCGAAACGCACTGGCATACTCTTAAAACAGAGCTTTTTTTCAAAAATGACGCCTTAACATACAAGTAGATTCGTGTGTCGAAAAAATCTGAAATACTTAAATAAATTGAAATGCAGTGGTGTAATGTTACAATAGAGATTTTTTTAAAATGACGTCTGCAAAAACAAATAAATAGACGCTTGCAACGAAGAAATCCGAAAAATCTAAATTAATCGAAACGCTGCGGCTAATCTAAAATGGCTATTATATTGAAAACTATTAATAAAATTGTAACTACGAGGTATGCAAATATTTTAAATAAATCTATATGTATAATATAAGTCAATTCGCCAAGCATTGTATCGTCGGTGTGGAGATGTGGGACCATGGATCGCAGCTGTCTCTCTTTTCCACCCATGATCAAGACATATTCGCGTGTAAAAAGGGTGTTTTGGGGAGAGATAGTGGGCATGTTATGAGTCTGTGGGGCTTAAGGTGAATTTATCAAAGACAGAATATATGGCCATCTGCACCGAGGACGCCGGTAATCTTCGTGTCGACTTTCAGATCTGTACAAAGGTGGGTGTATTTAAATATCTAGGATCTTACATTGATTCTTCTGGATCCTCAGAAATTGATGTGCGGATAAAGGTGGAGCAAACTCGGAAAGCCACACGAATGCTTCATCTTGTCTTGTGGAACGACGGAGTTCTAAAAGAAAACAAGCGTTCCCACGTCCTACATCAGAAGAATACCAGATATACAATTATCCTAGAAATCCATCCTAGTGTGACTTATCATACTAAACCACTTAATACCACACTTAACTGTGAATATCATCTCATTCCAAAGTAATAAAGCAGTTGATGAAAATGTTATTGCTATAAGATTTCATTAAGGGTGTAACCTGAGTCCGTTGCTCTTCACCATGGTTCTAGACTTGGCACTAAGGAGGGCCAAGCCTATAATGTGGAAATTGCACAGAAATCTGAACCATACCAAATATTACCAGTTGGCCTTCGCTGACGACCTCGTTCTAGTAGCTGCCAATGATCGAGACCTTCAACATAACATAAATGTCTTCCAAGAGGAATTAACCACAGTAAATATGAAGGTTAATCCGGGGAAGACTCAATGCAAGAGAAACCCCGAAGAAGTTTTAAATACATAGGGGCTCAATTCAAGGAGATTTCAATGAGAGTGGCTAAATAGACGAAGAAGTGGCCAATTGGATTAGTGCGGCAGGGAAAAAGTTCAGTGCGGTGAGACGGGATTTCTTGGGAAGAAGAGACCAAACCAGTCGTCTATAAATCGATAGTCCTCCGTATCTTTTCGTACTCTTCAGAATCGTGGATCCTCACCACAAAATACAGTAGTCAAATACAAGCCATGGAAATGAGGTATCTGCATAAAATAGCAAGAAAGACACGGAGAGATAGGACACGGAAGCCACCGTACGCGCTAGTCTCAACGTCAAACCGCCGGAAACCATTCTAGAGGTACACAAACTAAGGTAGCTTAGACATCGTCTTACGATGGGTCCAGATAGAAGCGCCAGGAAGATTTACGAGACACGCACGGGAAGGAAAAGGCCCAGAGGAAGGCCTCGCATCTCCTGAGAGGACAGTGTAAAGGATGCATAAAGGACGCGCGGAATAGATTGAAATAGGAGAATAGAGTTGGTACAAGAAAGAGACAGCTGGGCCTGACTCTATAAGCAGGACTCTCACACCGAACGGCGGTAGACGAGGGAATGACTATGATGATGATGAAGATTCCATTAACGAGACATAGATTGGAGGGTTGTTTTAGATTTGATCATGTAGATTTATGTTTTGATGTGTTTCTTCGGGTGCCTAGTATTATAGTTCTTTTTATTTATTTTTAATAAAAGATTTATTATTGCGACATTGTTAATCATTTTTTCATTTGGTAAATCCAATTTATAACGTTGTCCAAAATGATCCGACAAACAAAGTTGAAGGCTAAATAGTGACCACGGATTGAACCTCTTCTCCCCCCTCCCTCTCCCCCGCCCTGCTCACTTTAATCAAGGCGGTTAATGTCCCGTGAAATTCGCGCTGTTTGTTCGACCGTCATTTTTTCCCAAACTCTGAAACAAGAACTGCTTCCGAAACCCATTAATTATCAGTCACTTCTGGGAAACTGCTATAACTGGAAAAACGCATATTCTCTGGAGAGAGCTTTTGAGAGTCGTTCGACCTCAGTTGTGGTTTTTTTTTGTCAGTAGTAAAAATTCTGCAACATTTGAAATACTCACCGAAATGGTTCTGAACTAAACTCTGATACTGTTTGGTAAAAAGACTCGGTTTCTGTTTAAATTAGTTTAGCAGTATTAATATCAGTTTTATTGTTTAAAAAATTATATTCAGTGTCCAAGAAAAAAATAAAGTATATGTAATATTATTTGCAGTCGCTATTTTTATTGTACTTCAACAAAAAATTATTTTCAGAAAAATAATGACTTAAATTAATCAACAATAAGATATGGGAGTTCTCTGTGAATGAGAAAGAATAATTATTGTATATTGGGCCTATTCACCCAAAAAGATCGTAATAGTTCAGCGTAAAGATTTTAAGGAATCAAATTGGTATTTTTATGGAAACATACCATGAACGAATAACAGTTTTGAATAAAAACGTGAAATGATTCTTTTGTTATAAATATTTTAATAAAATTGCTAAATTGATATTTTTAGATAATTAACCCAAATAAATGGCCATGTTTGTTTAAAACAGACTAAGATTTTTCAAGTACTTTTTATTTTCTACAGGAAAGGGATATGTCCACATTATTGTAAGATGTGACCCTCAGGAACCTCCCGAAAGCCTTATCCCTTCCTCGCTTTGTTATTGCTGCCTCCTAAGGCTTATAAAGGACACTGAATCTACATGTTGGGGAATTCTTCCTTAGAATCCCTTTTTAGTCAGACCCGCCTCGAGGCCATAGCAATAGCAATTTTCCTGTACACCAAACCAAACAACCGTCATTTCCCGTTGGGCATGCTGACTTACTCAGCAAAAGGTGCTTAGTTTTTGGTTCAATCAAGTAAAATAATTATAGCACTGACAGTTATTTTTATTTTCATCTATTATGAAATTTTTTTTTTGTTCTCCTCTTCCTTGTCTTTTAGGCATACGGGGTTTTCCTGGGCCAAGAGATGAGGGCGAGGATTAATGACAGAGTTAAGATTCCCTCTGGGATCGGGACGCGAAATCTTATTTATTTTGTAAAATGCCACCCCGCCCCTCATTTATTATGAACTAACGAAGAATGCTGGGATACATTGAAAACTTTCAGCTTCTTTACGTTGAAGTAAGTTATAATAAGTTGTAAGGGTTTCGAAAGAGAAGACTTTAGCCAAGTTTCATTGAAATCAATATTTTCTCTACAATCTGTATGACACAGGTCTTTCCGCCGCCATCTTGAAAGGAAAGGGCGGCCAGAAATATCTAGGTAGAAGGATCATCGTCGAGTGACCTAAATTTATAAAAATACGATCCAGATGTCTCGGAGAAAAGCAACGGATAGCGTACGGCGGACGACAGACAGACAAAGACTTTTTTATTCGATTTTTGAGTTCTACTTCTTCTTAAACGTAAAACCTCAAATTTTGAAGGGAAGGAGATGGGTTAAGTTTTTGATTTTTTCGGTTGATTACAATGGTTCATTATTGAAAATAATAAAATATTAACTTATCAAAATTAAAAAAAAAAACACATAATTCTAAATAGAAATATTTTTTGAATGTAAATAGAAAAGTATTTCTGGCAATCTAATTTTCCACGAAAATGAGAACATATAATTACAATTATAACTATTATAGATGTATTTGGATTAAATATCACATGTTTAAGTACAGAATGTTATAATCGTTTTTTAAAATCAGCCGAATATAGTCCAGACTCTCGTCTAATTACATTAATTACATGTTAAATACTTGTAAATTAATTTTTTGTCTCAATTTTTTTTTATTTAGGGACAGGTATCTAAGTAACAATAAGAAATTTAAAAAAAAAAAAACATACTTGAGTTCTTTATTCAAAACACCCAAAAAAAAAAAATTAAAACCGAAAAATTTATAATGGATTTCACTGGTTTTTGAATTATCTGCCTAAAATATTCCATTAAATTAATCCATCATCATTAAAATAAAAAAATTAAACAAAAATGTAATTTTTTAAAAATGAATTCTTAATGATTTAATCAACCCAAAATTTATTTTATACAGTATTAATTATTTCGATGTTAAATGCATTAAATTTTTCAGACTCTCTAACTTTAAATACAATTTATATTTCATTATTAAATATTGCCCTTGAAATGCAAACTATAGTTGATTTTTAGTATCTATCTTATTAAATTAAATTTAGATGCAGTTTTTATAAAAATAAGCTTTGAGCAACGCTCTGATAAACACTGATGAAAAATCATCTCTCTCACTTGGAAGTCTTTAAGTAACGTTAAAAATCTAAAGTAGGTGCACAGTTGTGGAAGTAAAATGGTAAAAGAGAAATAAGCTTACGATTCTGCAAAATAAAATATTTGCTAAGCTTTGATAAACTAAAGAGTTCTGTGTAAAAAATATTCATGTCTTCAAACCAAGGAATTTCGCACTCTTGAAAATACCACAACTAATAACATTAACTTGTATTTTTTGTTTATAAAAATAAATATATTATTTATTGACATGGGTGTAATTTAAAATGTATACTAGTAAAGAGGGATGTTAGATTACTACCAAATTATGATCACTTAATTTTAATTTTTAAAATATTGAAAACATTAGAATTTCTCTCTATCATTATAACATATCCTGATGGTATCAGCTCTT